CTCGGCACTGGTGAGGCCTCACCTTGAGTACTGTGTCCAGTTTTGGGCCCCCTACCATAAAAAAGACATTGAGGTGCTGGAGCGGGTCCAGAGAAGGGCAACAAAGCTGGTGAGGGGTCTGGAGAATAAGTCTTATGAGGAGAGGCTGAGGGAACTGGGGTTATTCAGCCTGGAGAAGAGGAGGCTGAGGGGAGACCTTATTGCTCTCTACAACTCCCTGAAAGGAGGGTGTAGAGAGATGGGGATCGGTCTCTGCTCCCAAGTCACAGGCGACAGGACGAGAGGAAATGGCCTCAAGTTGCACCAGGGTAGGTTCAGGCTGGATATTAGGAAAAATTTTTTCACTGAAAGGGTTATCAGCCATTGGAATGGGCTGCCCAGGGAGGTGGTTGAGGCACCATCCCTGGAGGTGTTCAAAAGACGGGTTGATGTAGTGCTGGGAGGTATGGTTTAGTGATGATGCTCCCTGTTTGTTGTGTGGTTGTCTATTTTTGTCAGTTAGGTTGACGGTTGGACAAGATGATCTTTAAGGTCCCTTCCAACCTAGAAGATTCTGTGAAGCCCAGCAGCGAGGGGACTTGTGGCTCCCTGGAGAAGCTGGGGTGTCTTCTCTGCCACCACCCGCCTGCCCCAGCCAACACTGGCCATGACCTTGAAGTTGGATTTGCTCAGGAAACTCCAACGCAAAGCTCCCAGGGACACAGAGAGGCTCCAACACATAGCGATCAGGCGGTGAAATTGCTCAGCCCTAGAAATAATTTTAATTCAGGGAGCGATTTCCCCCCCTCCCCAGCTTCATTCCCTCCTCTCTCCATCTTTCCTAGCAATGTAACACCATTCATTTCTGCTTGGTGTCATGGAAGGAAGCAGGTCTGATGGGAGTCCAAATGCAGATGAGGTTGTTCTTGTGCCTGTGCATGTGCAGGATCAGACCTTAGAGGGATCTGGAGAATGTGGGTCATACAAAGAAGAATAAGGAAAGATTTATTTCCCTTTTGGGGTTTTTATGTAAGGCTGGGTTAAATAATCCTAAATAGGTTTTGGGTCAGAATTTTCTGACTTTACCCTTATCTTCCTTTTTTTTGTGTGTTTTTAATAAGAAAACCCAATAGAAAATTTTAAAGTATGTCTTTGCCTTTTGTTTGAAAACAGCTAAAATACTGTATAATTACAAAACAAAATTCTCCTGCCATAAATGACAGTTAGTATTCTTCAGAGGGTTTGAGTATGCTGTGTGCTCACCTCCCCTGGGATGTTCCGACTTTCAACTCAAGCATCTTCAGTGGGAGCTGGGGATGTGCAGCGTGTCCTAGAGCTAAAGCCAGTGTGACATTAATGAGATGCTGTCATTTAATAACTGTGCTTTGTTGTCATCGCTTGTTGATTGCTGCCTTTGTGGGAAAAGGCAGTATTTTTTTATTCCTAGGTTTTAGGCTCATTCGTAACTGAAATGTTTCTCCCGGTTAATTTCACCAGGCTTAAACTCTGGCACTTGAGAAAATTTCCTGGCCACGAGTTGTAGTTCCATGGATGCAATAAAGGTCAAGAAGCTCCTGTATAATTTAAACAACAACTCAAAATGGAGAGTAAAGTTCATGTTGCACTGTAAGTGGAAAATCAAAATTAAGTATATTCATTTACTTGTGATGTCTGAATGGCAGCACCATAAGACTTTCTAGTTGTTGTTGACTGTAGGGTATAAGGGTGACTTAGAACTGAAAGCCTTAATTCTTCCTCCCAATAATTGCCCATCTTGAGAAAACCATTACCAGTGCTAATGAGTACATTTCCAGTTAAATACTACAAACATCCATTCATGCCTGTGAGCTAAGAAGAGCTGACACCTAAGGGGGAAATTTTTCTGTTGTCATTTGACAACCACTGTTAACTGGTGAGATCTGAGGAACAGCCCATGCCTAGAGATGTCAAACAGAGAGCGCCTGTCTTAGCTGAACAGTGTGTGTATGAGCAGTGACGTGAATAATAATGATTAACTTTAGTTAGTTCCTAGACTACAGAAATGTAAATGCACAATCCTTGAGGTCTCAGGCAAGGTTCATGCTCCAGACCATGACTCTCACTAGGACTCTGGGGGAATCAGATGATTTGGAAAGTGACTGAGTTTGCTCTGGTGGCTTAGCACAGCACCAGCTGACAAAGCACCCAGAGAATAAACAGCAAAACTGTGAATCATTCATTTTGGGGGAGGAGGGAAGAGCCAATGGCATGGCACAGAGGGGAGAGGTGTGTCACCTGTGCTGCCTGCCCTCTCTGCTTGACAGGCCTGTTTGCAAAAGCTAGAGGACAGGCTGTCCTCTTTGAGATCACCCTGGAGTGGTGGTACACCTCAATCTCTTAGCACCTTGCTTGCCTGCACCCTTCATTCCTCGTTTCCTGTACCTCTCCAGTTTGCCTTGTCTTTCCTCCTCACGTTTCTTCAGCAGCTATGACCAGCCTGAAGGAAATCTGTCGTGGCCTTCCTCTATCCCCTTTGCCTGAAAACAGAGGTCGGAGGAAAGGAATACCCCATGCACCCGTGAGAACCCCTAATCTCACTGCTCAGGAGAAAAAGGTAACATGGGGTTTCACAGGGCCTCACTTCTCTTCCTTTCAGATAAACGCAGCTCGGGGCAGCAGACCTCATTGCCTCAAACACTTTTGTGAGTGTGCACCTAACTTTGCAGCAAATGTATTTCCTTGGTGTTATAATTTCAGCAGGTAACAGAACAAATTACTGGGAACTCTTCTGCTTGCTTGCTTTCTTCCTCCCCAGAGGTAAGCAGGTTGATAGGAGATGTTGCTGCACAACATCTTCTGTGACTTTAAATGGCTAAGAAAGAGGCATTAGACTCCAATGCTGTCAATCCAGCCATGTTCTTTGGAGGTGAAATTATGAATGCTGTTGCAAAAACACTGCATATGTATGGCAGTGAAAGCTAGCCTCTCAAATACAGTAAACATCAATTGTGGTGAATCAACATCACAGTACAAGCTACATATCTGTATATTTGCATAAAAGATCCAAAGATAATTTATTTTAACCAGTAGTCTGAAGTGTCCTGGAATTTAGGCAAGTTTGTAGGGAGTTGAGTTAATTATTTGTCTTTAGTTGTGTAATTCTTTTCCTGTCTCTTTTTGTTTGAATAGTCTACGTACACACTAAAGTAATCATTGCATTATTTCATGTTAGAGATTTTAAAAAAATTATCAACAGAAAATAATTGTCAATGTGTGGACATCTTTAGGAATTTGTGTGGGAGAGGATAAGGTGGGCTCCTTAGTTTGAAAGTCTGTGCTTCATCACATGTAACATCACTTACAGTATGACATTCTGGTCAGAACACAGAAGTTCCTTCCCCACTAACAAGTTACACACAGCTTCCTTGCCTTCGTGGGAGTTCCCCACTGGCATCAACAGCCAAATTCTTTCAAAGTCCACTTCCACAAGCAGAGGAGAGCCCAGCCAAAGGGTAGAAAGAGGAACAGCTGTGAGACATCCAAAGAGGATATACTTCAATGTCAGGAGCATTCATGGCTGAGGCATCCTATGTGTGCCTGGGACAGCTCAGACACTTGGAAGTGTGGCTACTAAGTGTGCAGAAAGGGGCTGTGGTGTGTGGTGATGGCTGTAAAGATAAAGGAGCAGGGAGTGAGTTTCACTGCATGTCAGAACATTGCCAATCAATCATCTCCATTTTATCCTTTGCCTTTGCTAAATCACTATTCGCCATGAGAAGTCTGCTATAGCATGGAGGAGTCCATGTTGTAGGAGGGAAGATGGTATGTCTTAAAAGGATGCCAAACCTTACTCTCTACCTGGGGAGAGAAAAGTAATGATGAAGTCCTCACTCCTTATGTAGAAACTGAGATAGTTTCCTGCCTCCTTTAATTGCTGCAGGGAGACAGCAATAGACTGATCTTCTGGTATATGTCTACTGTCTAACATCCTACCCTCATCTCTCCTTCTTATCTACCACATGTGATAAGACGTAGTTGGGTTTTTTATTAGACTGTTAAAGATTTAAAACCTTCCTTTCTGATTTATTTTATTCCTAATCTTCCACCTTAAATTCTTAACAGAGTTAGAGGCTCAGCTGGTATTTATTTTATATCTGAAAGGTCAGATCTCTTCTTTTTTAAAGAGGTGTTCCATGCTTAGAAAAGCATGTAGACAGACAACTATAGAAAAGTTTGTCTGTCTCTGTCTACAAGGTGGTTTTAAAGTCTTGAGACAAGCTTCCAGATTTTGTTGGCAGCGTGTAATGCTGAGCATATTGTGAGGCTTGTCTTTATGTATGAGACTGTGTTCATTTTCTCATTGAAGCACGCAGGGAAAGCTTTGATAGAAGTTAAGATAATAATGCTTCGCTAATTTCCTCGGGATTTGTCCCTCTCTTCATATGCCTTCAATCCAGTTCTAGCCCTTCCTACAATAATAAATCTTAACACTGCCACTGTTTCATTTTCTTGGGCCTCATTTTGTGGTTATAATAGAAATCCTCTAAGTGAGATTTATAAAGTTCTGTGTGTTTGGGGGCTTGCTGAAGAGGTATATAATTCTTCCCATCATACCAACTTTAATCTTCTTGGATAAACCAAGTCATTTCTCAGAACTGATTCTGTTTATATGTTTCCTGAGTTCTCTTCCTTTGGCATTCTTGCCTGAGGCCTGAAGCAGCCACATCCTCTCTCTTACCCTCCACCACTCAGGAAGCCCTAGCTTTCTGTTTCTCAGCATCTGTATCTTAATATAAATATGCTACAAAGAAACTACCCCTAAAATCTTACACGTGGTGTGTCCTTTGCAGAACAAGGATGTTGCATGCTCAATACTCATTGACATTTCAGTAAAGCTGGTGCAGCTTGGGAAGAACGTGCACTTCTCAGTGTTGCTCAGAATCAGAAAAAAACCCAGTATGTCTTCATCCGTGCAGCAGTTCCCTTACTTATCTTAGAGCTATGTCATGTTACAATCTTCCTGCTACCCTAGCATGATCATCTGCTACCTGATCACAGTATCATTTGCGTTTCTGTCACAGGGCCCAGAGGACACTAATGGGTCTTGATGACCTTGATGAGCCTCACCTGAGATCTCCACCCACACCCTCTGCCCATAGGCTTAGGGGCTTCATTTAAGCTCAGGCCTGGGGCTCTTATCTTAGGTATGTTGGAGATGTGGCTGTCTCTAGCTCTGTCACAGGTTGTCTCTGTGCCCAGCCATGGACAGTATTGGTCTGGTCTCCAGCCCACGGGCTGACTTGCCTCTAGGAACCTTCCTGGTGATTTCTGAGCCTTATCTCTCTGTGGTAACCATCACCAGGCCTGATCATGACTTGCACTCCTGGCTTGGCCCCTGACCTGCATATTGCCATGGTCCTGCCTGATGACCTGGACTTACTGGTGGAACCTGGCTGCTACCTCTGGGCTGCCCTGCTTGCTTCCCCCAGGTACTATGAGATGGGATGGTGGTTGGTGAGGTGACTGTCCTGCTGGCTGTGTTACTCTGGTTCCGTATCCCTTAGGGAGCAGCAGAGCCTTGCTGCTTCATGATGCCTTAGTAAAGAACTGAAAACCAGAGCCTGTGAAGTTACATAGCTCCTGAAATTCTTGCTGAACTTTCTGGAGAAGAAGCAGGACATTTGACCACAATGGTTGCTTTACGCATCCAGAAATGATGCCACTTTTAAAAGTTTATATGTGGATTGGGGAATGCCAGCCTGTTGGCTCCTGTTCCAAGAATGTCTGGATGATAAAGAAGTTGGTTAAATTTTCACAGCCTGTGGGGCGTTTACAGCGATGGCTGGTCAGAGATCACCATGTTTACTTCCCAGTTGAGCTGATCTGAACTGGGACCTATTGGAAAGAATAATACATGAAACAACTGTCTTGCTTTTACAGCTGGTGTTCAGAGAATAGTGCCAGAAAAGATTCTGGGCATGGATATCATCAGGCAGAAGAGGACAAGTGGGAGGCAAGCAATGTCTCCACTGGGAAAGAGAAGAACTAAGAATGAAACTATTGTAGAGTTTAGCTCATCGCTTCCTTGCCTTATGCCTTCCTTCCCCTCAGTAAATGGGTAAACCACAAATCTTAAGAGTTTGAGTGTCTCAAGATCCTTAAATTGGAAGTCCTGATGATGTTAGAAAAGGGAAATGAATGAATGCCATTCCTTTTGAAGAGGCACTGGTTCTTCAGCAAGCATCAATTAACAAAGAGGCTAGTATTCTTGATCTCTGGGGAGAATCTCACAACAAAGATATTTACAGCTGATCAGGATTTCATGGGTTCTTTTAACTACATTTCCTTGACATTAGGAGGTGTGAATCTTGATTGAATGGCAGCAGGATCATTTCTTGTTGTATGAATGCCAGTGAATAAAAAAAAAAAGACACCCTACCAGTGACTAGAGCTTAAATACAAGAACCAAATGTTAGATCCAGCTGGCAGATCTAAGGGGAAGACTTTGCATCTGATGCTTGTACTGCAGTGAGCTGAACTGAATCAGAAACTCTGCAAATTCAGAGTGGATGTTTTAAAACAACCAGCAGGCTCAGGAGTATAAGTGCAATTAATTACTATTTTTAAGACACCAGTGAACTCTGGACCTAGTTTTTCAGAGATGCTGAGCACATGCAACTTCAGGTTCTGTCAGTGGAAGTTATGAAAAGAAAGAACACCTAAATATCAAATGCACAATGTCTAATAATCAGAGTGCAGTGTGCCGGTTACAGGTAAAATCAATCCTACTTGGAGGTCAGAATAACGTTTTGTATGGTGCTTTAGTGATAAGTAAAGAATAATGGCCTTGTATTGCCTTTCTACAAAAGCATTATGTCCAACCTCTGTGAATTTGCTCCTTGAGTGTCTTTCTCAGGTTATTCAGTTTATGACTTAATAATGAATATGCAAAATTCTTCCAATGCATATGGCAATTGCCCTTTCATAAAGCAGTCAGGCTCCATCTAAGCAATTTTAAGTGCCCTAGCTCTTCTATTGAGAGACTGCTTCAGAATCTCTTATATTTAAATTCTTCTAATTTCAAGACTACGTTTTTATGGCTAATTCACATCTATTTATTCCTCTTCTAGCATTTCTCTGAAGCTCCTTCCTGCTTTGACACTTATCCTGCCGTAAGACAGCAATTGAAAGTCACCTTTGTTCTGTTAAGCTAAACAAGCCCCAGCCTTAGTCCTCTTTCATAAGAGCAGCTCTCTATTGTCTGTGCAACCAAGGCATCCTTCCCACCCTTCATGTAACATCCAAGTTCATGTTTCATTAATGTATGCATCATCAAAATTCAGGCTTCTGCTAATGTATAACATTAATAGGCTAGAAGCTTGGTCTAAGTGAATCTATTTGAAAATCCAACCAGACTTTGCTTGTATTTTTAGAGTGAAGAAAAATATTTGCCCATCAGTTTCATTATAATATAAATAATATATTAATCAAAGACTGGGTTATCCTTGCCAGACTGGGAGCAAAACATTCATCCTAGTAGTTCTCATAGGCAGACAAAATGCCCAATGTGGCAGTGTTTTCCTCTTGATTTTGTTGTTGCAAGTGATTTTATTCTTACTTTAGAAATTTCTTATGTCTAGAACCCACTGTGATGGCTGAGATTCACTTTGAATATCCCCACATGTTTTGACATGGTGTGGATGTAGCTGGAATTCTGGTGTTTACTAATAACATGCCTTTGAAAAATGACTGCTTATCTAACTGGAGAAGAACAAGGTGGTATTTGGAGATGGAAGTTGCATTTGCTTATCTTGTAAATAGGTTTTCCCTCTTGTCATTCTCTGTGCGGAGTGGCGAATCTAATTTGTAGGGTTTTACTGGTCTGATTCTCAGCTGGTGTAAATCAGTACAGCTTCACTAATCTGAAAGGGTCTGACCCATAAGCCTGCTCAGCAGCAAGTATGCCAAGAAAAACCTCTCTTAGTATGGGGCATTTTTAGATTTAGAGATATTGTTCTTTCTGTCTGCTCTGAGGTATGTGAGACCAGCATGCTCAGACGAAGGGGCTGGAGAGCTCTCTAGCTGTAAGAGCCAGACCATAGTAACAGTTGAATGAGCAGGTTTATTACTGAGCTAAGGGCTTTACAGAGCTTTTCAGCACTTCTTACCAGGATGGATGGTGATGATACCTAGACTGGATGGTTCTAGGTGCCTTTGTTGTAGATACCTATTTCTTGTACTACATCCTACCCCTTCATTTTCTCCAGAAAATACTTGCTTCCAGAACTCCTTGAACTGTCAATGACAGGTGTCACAAACATGAGGTATCCTCACTATACTCTGCCCTCTCTGAAACTGGGTTTCCCTGGCTGTTTTGTAGACTGTTATCAGATCTGGAAGCAAACTTGATCCTTTTCTATCCTTTCCACAGCTGTTAAAAATCAGCATAAAGATGATGTGAAATTCCACATGATTTGTGTCTCTTCAACTAAACATCCTTTGGATAGTGTCACCATTTGTTGGGGAACTTACAAGATTTTTTACATCTTTGCATGAAATTGGCTTTTTAAAGATTATGAAATATTTATTTTCATTATGGTTTTAATCAAATGAAACATGGAATATGGAGACATGACTTAACATACTGTTACTAAATATAGTGATTTTTTTATGGTTTCTTTTGTCCAAAAGGACATACTGTACTTTGCAAACCATGGGTAATGTCTTTGAAGGAAACAGGGAGTATAAGCCACATAGTATCATCTGCAGAATTTAATGCAGTGTCTAGTAATCACTTCAGCTAATGTGGAAGTGATACATGTAGTGTCAGTAAAATAACGTAAACCACCACCCTTTGCAATACATTAGGATGCTAAATATAGTGCATCTTTAATAAAACTTAGCCCAAGAACATCTTCATCTGGGAGCTTGTCACATCATGCAGGGCTAAAATCCCTTTTTTGAATGGAAAGTACAGTGGGGTCTTCAGTGTCTCTAGGAGTTCAGGGTCTCAGTCTAGGGATTTATGAACAATTTTTTCCTTGGTAGTTCAGTGCCCCCTAGCATTGCGAGAGGGAATTCGTCCATGCCTGATATTGATAGGATTAAGCACTACTTAACAAATCTCCAAAGTCTCTCCATGGAGATTTCGGGGGTGAAGGGGTGGGAAGAGGAGGGTTAAATGAGTAGAGCAATTGAATCTACAAGGAAAGATGCAGGTGGAAACACTTCAATAGGGAAGTAGGAATGGAGCTCCCCTGGTGTGAGCTTGGCCTTTTAAATTATATCATCCTTGTGATAGCTTAGGCAGGCTTCCAGCTGAGTCTGATTTACCTCTACTTCTCTTTTACCTCGATTTTTGTCTCTCATTGTCTTTTTTTTGGCAGCTGGCTTTGCACAATGCCTTGCGTTATTTCCCACCTGAAATACAAAAGAAGCTGGCACCGGAATTTGCTGAAGAACTCAGGCTGTACGGCCATATCTATATGTACAGATTCTTTCCAGATATTGAGATGAGGTAAGGACTGGGTGGTTCACATTGTATTTGACTGCCATTTGCTTACCAGCTTTCACCTGTGAAACTGACCCTTAAATAGTGGCATTGCTGCCTCTTGCAGGAGTCATGTCATAACATATTAATGAACTGCATCATCTGAATAAATTGGATGTTCTGTGTATCATTAGATAGCAGTGGTTGCATTTCCAGTGAGGGATGCTGCATGTTTTGGGATGCTCTTCTGAAAACTGCATAACAGTGATACTCCAGCTTTCATCCTTTCTCTGTCCTCATAAGAGTCCCACGGATCTAGCAGGGAGACAGTGTGAACCTTTCTGGATAGGCCCAGGACAGTCTTGCTGCTGGAAAACTCAGCACAGGGAAAGGATTGTGCTGGGTAACACCAGCTTTACCATACCGAGAGATCCAAATGCTCTGCCCCTTGGCAAATGTTAGTTTCTAGAGGCCAGTCATTACTCAAAGGCCTCTGATTGCAACCTGGACAGAAAACTTGCAGTAGTCCTGAGCTGCTGCAAGTGAAGTCTCAACTGAACCAAGAAGTAAGATCAGATGAGTGGATGGGTTGAGACCTGCTGTGAGTGGCTGGTTGTTTTCCAGTGTCCCAGAGGAGGCCCTCTGGGCTTAAAAGAAAGGCAGTACATTTTTCCATCATTGGAACCTGTATCTGACCCTGGTTTTTAGTATGCTATGCCTGTTGCCTGTTGATCTTGGAGCATCACTTCATTCTAGGGCTAAAGGGGCTAATGTTTGTGAAGCAGAACAGTTTTAGAGAGGGCTGCCAGGGGCTAGCTTCTTTTTTCAGACTGATTGATTCCTTTTTGCATACAGCAGGGGCCTGGTTAATGTCTGTACAGAAATCTGAATAAAGCAAGCAACTAGGAAGCACTCTGATTTCCACAGACATCTGTATTTCTGTGCTGTCCATTCTAGTCTGGGGTCAGCTCTCACAGAATTCAGCTAAGTCTAGGACAACTGGAAGAGTCTCTGAAAGATATTGCAGAGCTGGACGTCATAGGACCCTAGTCCTGAAGTGCAGATGAGGGGACCTTCTAAGTAGGCCTGGATGAGACAGTCCAACAACTTTTTTCCATCACTGGCATCAGTGACTCTTTGACAGCTTCAAATATTTTTTTCTTTGTGACCATTTCACGGATCACTCTTTCTAATAGACTCCTACAGTCTCAGATTAAGAAAATGCCTTTTGTTTTCTGTAGTCTGGTAGTATTTGATTTTTGTTCTGTATGTCCCAGGGAGCACAGTCCATCTTGGTTCTGTTCCATTTGACAGCAGTGTTCCCATACCAGCGCACTCAGCTGATATCTGAACTTTGGGTTTCTTATGTTCCAAGCAACATTATGTGGAAATAACTCCTCTTGATGAATTGTTATCATTCCACAGAAATCCTGTTATTTTATCACATCAAGCTTAGAAAAGCAGAAAACAATAATAAAAAAAGTATTGCGGAAAAACTCAAATACTTTCCCTCCTGGTTTGGCAATAACTACAAGGCATTTGTTTTAGTATCCTGGTGTAAGAACCTGAAATAAAGTGCATATGATCAGGGGTGGAGCCCATTTGCTAAATCTGTAGGATATACATCCCAGATCTTGGCTTGTGAGCTGGTCAGTGGATGTCCAATTTTTATTTTTTTTTTGTAGTTGGCACTCTTTAGCCTAACCTTTTCAGTTTTCTTCTCTGTACAAAGCAAGTGTCCAGTCACTGAAGATCTATGGTCCAATAAAAGGAAGATAATTTAGAAACTATGTCAAATGATCCTACCTCCCTTTAGGAATTTCCAGTGTCTGCAGCAGTGGTGGTGTTCACAGAATGGGAAAGAGCAAAACTCTTGATCAATGGTTATATTTCCTTTTGGTGTCATACCTCGGAGGCCTCAGCAAAACACAGCAAAAGAACTATCCCTGCCCTGAAGAGCTACAGTATAAATCTAGGACTAGAAGTTTTAGAGCAATTTGATCTAACAAACAGATGGTGGAGAAGATAACAGTGAGATGATCACAGCAGCTGGCATTGAAGCATATTAGGGCTAGGAAACCTGCCTCAGAATACCTTTGTGAGGGTTTCCCATACCTCACCTTTCTGGATGAAATGCTTCTTAGTCACTAAAAAGATCCATATTTCTCCTAACTAATTTGTTTTTTGAGAGCTTTTCTGGGGCTGAAACTCAAGCTGGGTGTTTTTCTTAGATAGCATCTTAAATAACAAGGGCTGCTGAGCCTGAAGGCAACTTCCATTGATGCTATTTTCCTTGGCATTGCTTAACAGCTTGGCCTGGCAACTGCGTTACAGAGGCCAGTTCCAGCATCCCCAAAAAATCCACTTAAAAAGCAGTGAGAGCTCTTGGCCACCACATTTATAACCAATTGTGGTTAACTGATTCAGCAAATAATAAGCTGAATACAATGTTTTTTTCTTTGCTTAGTTCTGATAGTAGTTAAAACCTGATTTGCCTGTTAAGGTATGTCATTTCAGACCTCCATTTTTTCCTTTTTTTTTTTTTTTCTTTTTGAATAAAAGCTTGCAACTCAAATGGATGTGTGGACTTGCAGGGATATTTCTGCGGGGTGTGTTGTTGTGGTTACCCTTGTGAGTCAAAGTGTCTCTCCTAAACTTTTGTGACTATCGTTTCAGAGCGTACCCCATAGGAGACTATCCCTGCAAGACCAAATCGGCTGCTGCCATTATGTTGATGATCATGAATAATCTGGATCCCTCAGTGGCTCAGGTAAGGCACAGTGAAAATAAGAAAGCTGGATTCGTAGGGCAGCAGCAAATGTGTGAGAGCATACAGAGGAAGTAACTTGCACAAAACCTAAAGAATTTAGGCATAGAGGTGAAATTAATCCTTGTGCAGATAATCCTCCCTCCATGGATTGAATAGCATTTTAGTTGTTCACAGACATTTTGCTGGCTCTGTGCTCCAAGGTACGTGCCAGTCCCTGTACTCATAGAGCTGCTCGTTGTGTGTTGGCTCAATGGTTCCATTCTAGTAGTGCCAAGGCAGCCTCCTCACAGAGTACTAATGCTGCACGGTGGGTCCTGGTCCTCACTCAGACCTCAGGGCTCATCAACACCACCACCAAGGCTCACAAGCTGCCATGATCTACAGCAGCTTGGTTACTGTCTGTGAGCTGGGTAGAGCTCAGCCCTAGTACATTGTTCCTACAACATATGTTGAAAAATTAGTGCTGATGCTTCCTATATCTTTGAAAGTTCATCCCTCAAGGACAGAATTACTGGATGATTACAGGACCAGGGTCGATCCTTACAAGCACTACCCGGTGTAATGCATCTTTTTGCAAATGGCAGGGGAGAAGCCATACATCTGTGCCCTGCTGGTTGTAAACTTTTCCAACTGTAAATGCCAGTAGCAACCAAACTGTAAACTCAGTCCCTGTTTAAGGGAGTTTACTGGGATGTCTGTCTGCTACAGAACTGCAGCACAGGGATCACACTATGTCCAACACACCATTGTAACAATAACACACAACTCATTTAAAAAAAAAAATAATTTATTTTTCTTAATGATTGCTTTTATGATGGCATTTTCTGATTTCAAGAATCTGGAGCGTGGCTGCAATAAGCTATAGTAAAGATTTATTACTGAGATTAAAAAAATAGCTTGGAGACACAGTTAAATGTTTCAGAAAAGTACTTGTCTTATTGTTAAATTGTCTTTTTCAGTTTCCTCAGGAGCTTGTCACTTATGGAGGAAATGGACAGGTCTTCAGCAATTGGGCACAGGTAGGACATTGCTGCTTTTGGAACTTGTTTGATGAAACCAGTTTCACCCTCCCCCACGCACGTTCTGCTTAGGCAGTTTGTGATAATTCTTGGCAGTCGTTGTCTCAAAAAGCTCCAAAGCATCCTGTCTGGATAGAGGAATGCTCAGTTATGAACTGCATAGATGGCGAGAGCTTTATTTAGTAAGGGAAACACAGACAGCCCAACAGAAATACTAAACATAATACCATAAACATACCAGGCTGTGTATGATGATGTAAAGACCAGTTTTTTGTCTTTCTCTGATATATTTGTATGTGCCTGTGTATTTTGGAGAGATAATTTTAGAGTCAAAATAAATTATAAGCACCCTCTGCCAGCCCGCCCGCCACATGACAGCGGGGACACAGCACCCACCCGGGCGTGGGGAGAGCGGGGTGGCTGTGGGGTGCTCTCTAGCCATGGCTCACACGGGGCTACAACTGGGCGCAGGCACCGGGTTTCCTTCCATAATCACTGACATGAGCTGGCACAAGCCAAGTTGAACCTCAGTGGGATGAGGTTCAACAAGGCCAAGTGCCAGGTCCTGCACTTCGGTCACAACAACCCCCTGCAGCACTACAGGCTGGGGGCAGAGTGGCTGGAGAGCTGCCGGGCAGAAAAGGACCTGGGGGTGTTGGTCGACTGTCGGCTGAACATGAGCCAGCAGTGTGCCCAGGTGGCCAAGAAGGCCAACAGCATCCTGGCCTGTATCAGGAACAGTGTGGTGAGTAGGGCCCGAGAGGTGATCGTCCCCCTGTACTCGGCACTGGTGAGGCCTCACCTTGAGTACTGTGTCCAGTTTTGGGCCCCCTACCATAAAAAAGACATTGAGGTGCTGGAGCGGGTCCAGAGAAGGGCAACAAAGCTGGTGAGGGGTCTGGAGAATAAGTCTTATGAGGAGAGGCTGAGGGAACTGGGGTTATTCAGCCTGGAGAAGAGGAGGCTGAGGGGAGACCTTATTGCTCTCTACAACTCCCTGAAAGGAGGGTGTAGAGAGATGGGGATCGGTCTCTGCTCCCAAGTCACAGGCGACAGGACGAGAGGAAATGGCCTCAAGTTGCACCAGGGTAGGTTCAGGCTGGATATTAGGAAAAATTTTTTCACTGAAAGGGTTATCAGCCATTGGAATGGGCTGCCCAGGGAGGTGGTTGAGGCACCATCCCTGGAGGTGTTCAAAAGACGGGTTGATGTAGTGCTGGGAGGTATGGTTTAGTGATGATGCTCCCTGTTTGTTGTGTGGTTGTCTATTTTTGTCAGTTAGGTTGACGGTTGGACAAGATGATCTTTAAGGTCCCTTCCAACCTAGAAGATTCTGTGAAGCCCAGCAGCGAGGGGACTTGTGGCTCCCTGGAGAAGCTGGGGTGTCTTCTCTGCCACCACCCGCCTGCCCCAGCCAACACTGGCCATGACCTTGAAGTTGGATTTGCTCAGGAAACTCCAACGCAAAGCTCCCAGGGACACAGAGAGGCTCCAACACATAGCGATCAGGCGGTGAAATTGCTCAGCCCTAGAAATAATTTTAATTCAGGGAGCGATTTCCCCCCCTCCCCAGCTTCATTCCCTCCTCTCTCCATCTTTCCTAGCAATGTAACACCATTCATTTCTGCTTGGTGTCATGGAAGGAAGCAGGTCTGATGGGAGTCCAAATGCAGATGAGGTTGTTCTTGTGCCTGTGCATGTGCAGGATCAGACCTTAGAGGGATCTGGAGAATGTGGGTCATACAAAGAAGAATAAGGAAAGATTTATTTCCCTTTTGGGGTTTTTATGTAAGGCTGGGTTAAATAATCCTAAATAGGTTTTGGGTCAGAATTTTCTGACTTTACCCTTATCTTCCTTTTTTTTGTGTGTTTTTAATAAGAAAACCCAATAGAAAATTTTAAAGTATGTCTTTGCCTTTTGTTTGAAAACAGCTAAAATACTGTATAATTACAAAACAAAATTCTCCTGCCATAAATGACAGTTAGTATTCTTCAGAGGGTTTGAGTATGCTGTGTGCTCACCTCCCCTGGGATGTTCCGACTTTCAACTCAAGCATCTTCAGTGGGAGCTGGGGATGTGCAGCGTGTCCTAGAGCTAAAGCCAGTGTGACATTAATGAGATGCTGTCATTTAATAACTGTGCTTTGTTGTCATCGCTTGTTGATTGCTGCCTTTGTGGGAAAAGGCAGTATTTTTTTATTCCTAGGTTTTAGGCTCATTCGTAACTGAAATGTTTCTCCCGGTTAATTTCACCAGGCTTAAACTCTGGCACTTGAGAAAATTTCCTGGCCACGAGTTGTAGTTCCATGGATGCAATAAAGGTCAAGAAGCTCCTGTATAATTTAAACAACAACTCAAAATGGAGAGTAAAGTTCATGTTGCACTGTAAGTGGAAAATCAAAATTAAGTATATTCATTTACTTGTGATGTCTGAATGGCAGCACCATAAGACTTTCTAGTTGTTGTTGACTGTAGGGTATAAGGGTGACTTAGAACTGAAAGCCTTAATTCTTCCTCCCAATAATTGCCCATCTTGAGAAAACCATTACCAGTGCTAATGAGTACATTTCCAGTTAAATACTACAAACATCCATTCATGCCTGTGAGCTAAGAAGAGCTGACACCTAAGGGGGAAATTTTTCTGTTGTCATTTGACAACCACTGTTAACTGGTGAGATCTGAGGAACAGCCCATGCCTAGAGATGTCAAACAGAGAGCGCCTGTCTTAGCTGAACAGTGTGTGTATGAGCAGTGACGTGAATAATAATGATTAACTTTAGTTAGTTCCTAGACTACAGAAATGTAAATGCACAATCCTTGAGGTCTCAGGCAAGGTTCATGCTCCAGACCATGACTCTCACTAGGACTCTGGGGGAATCAGATGATTTGGAAAGTGACTGAGTTTGCTCTGGTGGCTTAGCACAGCACCAGCTGACAAAGCACCCAGAGAATAAACAGCAAAACTGTGAATCATTCATTTTGGGGGAGGAGGGAAGAGCCAATGGCATGGCACAGAGGGGAGAGGTGTGTCACCTGTGCTGCCTGCCCTCTCTGCTTGACAGGCCTGTTTGCAAAAGCTAGAGGACAGGCTGTCCTCTTTGAGATCACCCTGGAGTGGTGGTACACCTCAATCTCTTAGCACCTTGCTTGCCTGCACCCTTCATTCCTCGTTTCCTGTACCTCTCCAGTTTGCCTTGTCTTTCCTCCTCACGTTTCTTCAGCAGCTATGACCAGCCTGAAGGAAATCTGTCGTGGCCTTCCTCTATCCCCTTTGCCTGAAAACAGAGGTCGGAGGAAAGGAATACCCCATGCACCCGTGAGAACCCCTAATCTCACTGCTCAGGAGAAAAAGGTAACATGGGGTTTCACAGGGCCTCACTTCTCTTCCTTTCAGATAAACGCAGCTCGGGGCAGCAGACCTCATTGCCTCAAACACTTTTGTGAGTGTGCACCTAACTTTGCAGCAAATGTATTTCCTTGGTGTTATAATTTCAGCAGGTAACAGAACAAATTACTGGGAACTCTTCTGCTTGCTTGCTTTCTTCCTCCCCAGAGGTAAGCAGGTTGATAGGAGATGTTGCTGCACAACATCTTCTGTGACTTTAAATGGCTAAGAAAGAGGCATTAGACTCCAATGCTGTCAATCCAGCCATGTTCTTTGGAGGTGAAATTATGAATGCTGTTGCAAAAACACTGCATATGTATGGCAGTGAAAGCTAGCCTCTCAAATACAGTAAACATCAATTGTGGTGAATCAACATCACAGTACAAGCTACATATCTGTATATTTGCATAAAAGATCCAAAGATAATTTATTTTAACCAGTAGTCTGAAGTGTCCTGGAATTTAGGCAAGTTTGTAGGGAGTTGAGTTAATTATTTGTCTTTAGTTGTGTAATTCTTTTCCTGTCTCTTTTTGTTTGAATAGTCTACGTACACACTAAAGTAATCATTGCATTATTTCATGTTAGAGATTTTAAAAAAATTATCAACAGAAAATAATTGTCAATGTGTGGACATCTTTAGGAATTTGTGTGGGAGAGGATAAGGTGGGCTCCTTAGTTTGAAAGTCTGTGCTTCATCACATGTAACATCACTTACAGTATGACATTCTGGTCAGAACACAGAAGTTCCTTCCCCACTAACAAGTTACACACAGCTTCCTTGCCTTCGTGGGAGTTCCCCACTGGCATCAACAGCCAAATTCTTTCAAAGTCCACTTCCACAAGCAGAGGAGAGCCCAGCCAAAGGGTAGAAAGAGGAACAGCTGTGAGACATCCAAAGAGGATATACTTCAATGTCAGGAGCATTCATGGCTGAGGCATCCTATGTGTGCCTGGGACAGCTCAGACACTTGGAAGTGTGGCTACTAAGTGTGCAGAAAGGGGCTGTGGTGTGTGGTGATGGCTGTAAAGATAAAGGAGCAGGGAGTGAGTTTCACTGCATGCCAGAACATTGCCAATCAATCATCTCCATTTTATCCTTTGCCTTTGCTAAATCACTATTCGCCATGAGAAGTCTGCTATAGCATGGAGGAGTCCATGTTGTAGGAGGGAAGATGGTATGTCTTAAAAGGATGCCAAACCTTACTCTCTACCTGGGGAGAGAAAAGTAATGATGAAGTCCTCACTCCTTATGTAGAAACTGAGATAGTTTCCTGCCTCCTTTAATTGCTGCAGGGAGACAGCAATAGACTGATCTTCTGGTATATGTCTACTGTCTAACATCCTACCCTCATCTCTCCTTCTTATCTACCACATGTGATAAGACGTAGTTGGGTTTTTTATTAGACTGTTAAAGATTTAAAACCTTCCTTTCTGATTTATTTTATTCCTAATCTTCCACCTTAAATTCTTAACAGAGTTAGAGGCTCAGCTGGTATTTATTTTATATCTGAAAGGTCAGATCTCTTCTTTTTTAAAGAGGTGTTCCATGCTTAGAAAAGCATGTAGACAGACAACTATAGAAAAGTTTGTCTGTCTCTGTCTACAAGGTGGTTTTAAAGTCTTGAGACAAGCTTCCAGATTTTGTTGGCAGCGTGTAATGCTGAGCATATTGTGAGGCTTGTCTTTA